GGGGTTGGGTTGTTCGGACACTGTTAAAGGGATGGTGGGTTAGTTGTGAACCATAGGATCAATAGGAGATCAACAGATGGGATTTAATTGAGTCGAAACGCGGCAGTTTGGTTAAGGGTGGGGACAGAGCTAGATTAAAAGGGATCTGGGCTGGGACAAGATTGTGATCAATTGGGCCAACTAAAGTGCTCGCCCAATACGAATAACAACCTTGTTTTTTCCTCTCTTTTTTTTTTTTTTTTTTTTTTTTTTTTTTTTTTAGGTTACGATCGAATCCGACGGAGATTGCCTACGTATCACGGCTCCTGCGTGAATCAGACCAAGCNAAATTTTAATTCAAACCTAATTTGAAGAATTAAACCTAATTATTAATTTTCTAACAACTAACTAATTTGCTCAAATTTAACAAATGCATGTAAAATTACTAAAATATTTTGTTTGATTTTCTTGTATTAATTCGAACAATTAAAGAGTAATCAACTCCTACAATGCAATTACACCTAAAATGTCATGAAATTAAAATTTGATAATTTTTATGGTTTTTCTATGATTTTAAGATACTAAATATGCTTAAAATGCAACTAAATGCAAACACTAATTAACAAGAAATTCCTAGAAATTTGGTAAAATTAAAACAATTAGGAAAATTTATTTTTGTTAATTTTGTAGGAGTACTTTCGTAGGGAAAAAATTACGTGCTCATTTGGACCGACTCGGGCGCGGGGCTCATCACCACAAATTTCGGAGAAAACTCAGGTGCGGCACTCTTTGCCTTTTTATTTTTTCCCCCGACCGCGGAGGAACATCTTCTTTTTGGTTGCTTGTTCTCCGATCGTGGACTCCGAGAAAAAGCACCTGCGCAAGAAGCAGTCCCGGAGACACCTGTTCGGGTAAACGCCTCCTGTAGTAGCCTGCCGCATTAGTAGGATCAGCTAAAACGTCCTCCTCAAGGATGACAACTGAGCTTTGGGATAGACCTGAATTCAACAAAGGAAAAAGGGTTAATCAGCTTTCTTATACGAAAGAGAAAAACGAGATGAGTTTAACCTACCATGATTTTTGACCTTCCACCGTATATAAGGGCCAGTTCCTTCCGCATACGGGTCTTGGGCATAGTAACGTCCAAAATTGTTTGGACTCTTTGGTCCAAGCCTTTAACCTGCGGTGTAACCCACCGAGTTTCTAAAACAAGTAAAAGAAAAGGAATCAATAACAATATGGGCTGATCTTTAACTAGAAGAAGAGACAAACGATGAACTTACAAATATGGTTCCACAACTCCAGAAAGGATGAAGTCGTGGCCTGAATGATGTCTTTGGTGGATTTCATCCATCCACGATCGTTGTCATCATCCATGCTGGCAAGCAGAGCATGGTGGCCACATTTGCTGAAATTTATCATTCCCCCGCAAAAAATCTTGGGGGAATAAAGGTTTATTAATCGAGCTAGGGTTAGCTCCTCTCCCGTCTCCTAGCACAAATGCCAAAGACAACGACTGTCCTCCATAATGACGGAATCAAGTTCCCTGATCAAAGAGAATGACTCCTAAGTGAAGGGATACATATAAAAATATGTGAAGCCCTTCTTGGGTAGGGTTATTCCCTCCGCTAGATCAGGAGCGATAATGTCTAAATCTAGGCAATGGCAGTCTTTCAGAATGCTGGAAGGACGATAGAAGAGTACACTCCAATGTCCCGCGTAAGAGGGTTAGCGAAAGGAAACTTCTATTCGAAGTCTTAGTTGTGACAAGACGTCTTGTGATGATAGTGCTCACCGTAGGAGGAGCAGCCTCATCGGCTTTATCTGTGATGACCCAAAAGGTCATCTTATGATTTAACACTAAATTCTGCATTTTGAAATCTTAAAAACCTCACTTTATCCCTCTTCGATTTGTGTGCGCAGTTCGGGCGTGATTCCGGAAAGCTTATTTGTTGAAAGTTGATGAAAATAATTATTTTTGACTTTAAAATTTGATTTAGTTGACTTCGGTTAACGTTTTAAGTAAACGGACATGGACTCGTATTTTGACAGTCCTGATGGGTCCGTATTAAAATATGGGACCTATGCGTATGCCCGGAATCGGATTCGGAGGTCCCTAGCCCGAGTTATGAATTTTTGTTAAAAATTGTAAGTATGAAAATTTAATGGTCTTTAAGAAATTATTAATGTTTGATCTTATTGGTATCGGTTCCTTATTTTGGTGAGAGACGGAACTGATTTAACGTGATTCGGACGTCCGGTTGTGAAAATAGGAATTTCAAAGTGTTCTTAAGAATTCCATGTGATTATGTACTAAATTCGTAGTTCTACGTGTTATTTTGACGATTTGATCGCACGAGCAAGTTCGTATGATATTTTAAGACTTGTTTGGTTTGGAGCCCCGAGGGCTCGGGTGAGTTTCGGATGGGCTACAGAGTGATTTGAAACTTAGAAGAATTGTTGGTGTTCTTCAGCTATGTTGTAGGCCTCAGTCCTCGCAAATCCGAGGTCTAGCTTCGCATTTGCGACTACTGTTGAGGTCTCATTTGCGAGCTTCTCCTCGCAAATGCGAAGAGAAGCTGGGCTAGCCTAAGTTCGCAAATGCGAAGAAACCTTTGCATTTGCGATGGGGACAGGGGGGAGGTTGACTCGCATTTGCGACCATTTAATTGCATATGTGATCAGCTCAGATCGCAATTGTGAGCATTTCTTCGCTTTTGCGAAGGAAACAGGAATGTGAGAGACCTCGCAAATGTGATGGTTTTCTCGCATTTGCGAGGTTCGCAATTGCGAAACTCAGGTCACAAATGCGACATATGCAACTGTGTAAAAGGGACTTAGACGGGATTTTTCATTCATTCTTCAAATTTTCAAAACCTAAAACATAAGAGACGATTTTCCAAAGACCATTTCTTCCCCCAAATCATAGGTAAGTGATTCTTAACACATTTCTTTCAATCTTTCACTTCATTTTAAAAGATTTCAACTTAGAATCTAAGATTTTTATGGTGGAATTGGGGATTTTTGGGTAGAATCTAGGGGTTTCAAAATTTGGCGATTTAGACCTCAAATTGAGGTCGGATTCCAAAATCAATTATATATCCGGGCTGGGGGTGAACGAGTAATCGGATTTTGGTCCAAATTTCGTGTTTGGACCAAGCGGGCCCAGGTGTTAACTTTTCAAAAATGGCCTAAATTGAATTCCTTGCAATCGTGGGTAGTTCTTAAGGCTTAGATTGAATTGTTTGGTTTGTAATTGGTTCGATTCTATTGGTCCGGAGGCTTGTGTGAAGGGAAAAATGGTGATTGAGCTTTGAGTTGGCCGTTGGAGCGAAGTAAGTGTTGTGTCTAACTTTGACTCGAGGGATTAGGAATCATTGACTTAATTGCTATATGAAAATCCATGTTAGTGGCGCATAGGTGAGATAACGAGTACCTATGTGCCGCCAATTTATCTGTTTTGCCTGTTTTCTTCCCATTCTTATTATATTTTCTTCCCTGCCTTAACTATTACATGCTTTAGGGGTACTTCCATGTTTGATTGCTACTTGACAGATATTGCTTTTCGTTGTTGAAGGTATTAGATATCCCGTAGTCTCATTGTCTCATCTTATTAGTTAAAGCTGATTTATCGGTGTTTTATGGTATATTTTGGATTGGTTTCTCTGAGTAGTATTATTTGTGTGAAGTTTCATGATGTACAAGATTTCCCTTTGTTTTGGTTTGAGGCTTAAATATTGTGGAGAGTTTTGAGATAAATTGTGCAATTTTATGTTATTATTGAGTAGTTAGTACTGATATGGTGGGATCGGGCTGCACGCCGTAACAGGAGGAAAAAGGGTGATATATTGAGGATGAATAAGGGTGAAATGCTATTATATGGTGGGATGGGGTTGCGCGCCACAACAGGAGGAATAAGGGTGACATATTGAGGAGAAATAAGGGTGAATCGCTATTATACGGTGGTATCGGGTTGCATGCCGCAACAGGAGGAATAAGGGTGGACTGATATGGAGTAATAAGGGGGAATATTCATATTAATATTGATTATATGGTGAGATCGGGATGCGCGCCGCATCAGTTTATGTGATTATGTATCTTCTTCTGCTGTGTAAATTATTCTGTAGTTTTGCATTTCACTTAAGGAGTGGTTATAGCTGGATATTGATAAGATACTTGAGTTATGTATTCATTCCTTGCAAGTTACTGTTTATTTTGTTATGTTCTTCTTTCTGCTTTTATTATACACTGTATGTAAGTTATATTGAAATTTCCCCGTCGTAACCTAGTCACTACCTCGTCAAGGTTAGGCTCGGCACTTACAGTACATGGGGT